TCCTTTAAGTAAAACTTCCTGCACTTGCGGTGTGTTTCTGGATGTTCAATCTTCAACTCTGGGGGAAGAGGACTCCAAGATTTTCAACACCCACATCATTTCTGGTCTCAGATTCACAGGCAGACATCATTTTACCACGTCATGCGCGGGCCCTTGAGCATCTCCAAAGGTTGGTTAAATATCATATGCCCTTCACTAACCATACACAGGAAAGCCACCCAAGTAGGCAGGTACAGGCCCTGGGCTTCACAGGGACAGGTGTGACCTCCCCCATGTATGGCTAAGGTCCATGGCTAAGGTCCATGCAGCTGCAGGCACCCACCCCGTCCTGGGAAGCCCAAAGCCCCATTCTTCCAGGGAGCTCTGGTTCCCAGCTGAATGCACACTCCTCTTTGCAAGGAGTGTCTCCTTTATCTGGCCTTCAGATAAATGTCCCCAAACACTACCTGACTCTGCCTCAGTGCTACTCTGAGTCTGTGCCATGTGATCATCTGATCTCAGAAAATTATACCCAAGGAAGAAGGATGACGATGCTCCACAGCGCGTCCCTCGCTCCAGGGTGTCTTCTGACTTCCGTCACTTAGGAAAACCGAGTTTCTTCTGACTGATGATAGATCAGCCCTACATCCTCTTGGTCATTGTGTAAATATAATTCCCTGATACACTTCACCTCCAGCATGTAGTCTACCAGGCCATGAGCAGCTGGGGCAGGAGGGCTCTGACCCCGGCCCACCCGACCCGTCAGATGCAGCCACACACACTCTTGTTTAGTTTTTACCTGCGTCCCCCTCCCTGGAGGCACGGCTATTGTCCTACTTTACAGTTAGAATCTTCACTTTTGAGTTCTCGCGGAGTTCCCGTTGAGTTCCGGTTGAGCTCTCGCGGGGATTCCTGAAGAGTTCGCGTTGGTTGGTGGAGTTCCGGTGGAGGGACTTCCCGCTGGTGTGTGGTCACTGGAAGGACCGCGTGGGTGGCATCCGGGGGAGTTCAGAAATAAAGTTTGTTCCTGCTTGAGTGGCTCCTGATTTGTGCCCAGCCAGACGGGGGCAGTCTTGTCCTCACAGGCCTGTGAGTGGGGAGCATTAGGAGACTTTAAAAAGGCTCTGGGTCACTGCGGGCAGCAAGAGGGTGGCTCCACCACGCACCTATTTAAAGACTCCCCAGAGGAGGACCCCAGCCTCCAGCCACTGTCTGCTTGGGCTTTGTGTGTGCTCTGAAGCTCAGGCCTCGGCTGCGCCAGCCACTGACTTCCAGCAGGAAGATCTCTGCCTGAACGCATTTGTCAAAACACCACCTTTTCCACTCTTTTAGCTTAAATATAAAGTCATATTAATGTTCTCCAGAGAAACAGAACCAGGGTTGTTAAAAACTGTCTCCAGTGACCTTGGGAGTTGGTAAGTCTGAGATCTTCAAGGGTAGGCAACCAGCTGAGTCCCAGGGAAGGGCGGGTATTCAGTTGGAATCCAAGGCCGACTGGCTGGGAGTTTCTCGTCCTGTGGGAGATGGCCCTTAATGCTAACCAGGCCTTCAACTGGTGGAACGAGGTCCATTTACATTATGGGAAGCAAGTTGATTTAAATGTACTGATTTAAATATTAGTCTCACTAAAAAGCACCATCAGAGAAACATATAAAACAATATTTGAGCAAATATCTGGGTCCCATGACCTAAGTTTCTCCTTATCGATGATAAATTAGCCCTAAATCCTCCTCACGTCAGCAGACCCATTAAGTCAGCCATCACATGGGGTTTAATTTGCATTTAAGTGAGAATTTCCATCATCCTTCCAGTCACAGGATCCATGGAACACAGCAGACCTCGTGGTCCATCTCCTTCCCATCACAAAGGCCGGTGAAAATTCTTTCCTTGAGCCACACTGAGCCTAACACAGCTTCAGAGGGCCGTGTGCACAGAGACCCACATTATGTGGAATGTGAGTCAAAGTCAGAAAAAGCCAGGTGGTTCTCAGGGAAAATCGTTTTGATTTTAATACATCTGCTCGTGGAAGTGTTTTCATCTTGGTAAAAATATAAATTCATTCACCACCTAATTTTAAAATTATTTTTAGGCAAGTGAAGAGGCTGTACAACATAAAATATTAACTTCAAATTGGGTATAAAAATGCAGAAATATAAGGGTGCAAATGCCACTAAAGCAATGTTTCAAGTCCCCAGACCATCAACCCCATGGCTCCAGGGCTGCGAGGCCTTGGGAGCAGAGCTGCTATTTCAACACGGCCGTTTTAAAGAAGTTCTGTCGTGGCTGAGGCTGGGGCGAGTGCAGCTGTCCCCATGTGGGAACCTGATAGAGCTGATACAAGATCATTGGTGAGACGTGTCTGGAGCTGTTGTGTGTCTCCGGTTGCTGGGAATGTCCCCTTGATGCACCTTCCACTTTGCTTCGCGGGGAGACTTTCATATTGTTAGGATGCTCCAGGAAATGAAGAGGTGACTGAACTCATGGCCCTGGAGGACAAAAGGAATGGCAAGCCAACGTCCCCTGCGACAGGTCTACTCACCTGGAGAGCCGTCTCTGCCTTTCATTTTAACTCTTTTGTGCCACGGCAGAGCAGTGCTCTTTTGAGAAGTCCCTGGCCGACAATTCCTTCCCTCACGGCTCACTGTACCCGTCACCACATGGCCGTCTGCCTGCAGCACAGGCTGCTGCCCATTGCTGTGGCCAGGGGTGCAGGATGAGTGGATCTCCGTGTCCATGGCCTTCTATGCTGGGAGATGGAGTGAGACTCATGGCATCCACTACTACGCATCTGTGTATCCATGAGGATAGACAAACAGGAGCCGTGAAAAGAGGCTTCCAGCTTCCTGCTGGGAGGGCGGGGCCCACGTGTGGCAGGAACAGTACTCCTGATGAAAATTATGGTCCCTGGAAATGTACCAAGTCAGTCCAATGTTCTAGGTGGGCCATTGTTGACGGGCGTATCACTTTCATTGTCTCACGGCCTGGGAGCTCCAGGCGCTTGCAGCAAACCCCATGCGATTTCAGGACACATCTGAACTCCTCACCTGCAGCACCGCAGCAGTTCAGTACTCCACTGCTGGGCTTCTCTACATACACAGCCATCCTTGGCATGCACGGAAGGTGGTCCCTGGGTCACCTCCAGTACGCCGAACTCCGCAGGTGCTCAAACCCGGGTGCAGAAGTATTTGGGTGTAACCTAGGCACTTTCCCTCACACCCGACTCGTCTCCAGGTAGTTAGAACACCTGGTGCCACATACTTAGCTGCACCAGGTGTTTATTGAGGAGGAAGAGCGAGGAAGGCCTGTGAGTGCTCAGTTCTGGCACTCTGTGCAGCTGGTGAGGCCTGCAGGAGCAGAAGTGCAGTACCAGGCACCTACACCTTCCACGCTGCCTCAGGTGCCTCCTCCAGCACCTCTCCCTCTAGAGCCTTTCCTGGCCCCCTTACTTTCTTCTTCTTTTCTCCTCCTTTTTGTCTTCCCTCCCTCCCTCCCTCCCTCCCTCCCTCTCTTTCTTTCTTTCTTTTCTACTTGTCTGTGGTACTGGGATTGAACCCAAGGGCTGGCTCCAGCGTGCTAGGCAAGGCTTGGCCACTGGGCTACACCCCAGCCCCAGTTGAATTGCCTTCTCCCTTCTGTCCACTGACCTGACGTTGCTGTGGTCACTGAACCACAGTCTCCTCCAGGAAGAGTCACTGGTGGTGGGAGAGGGATCGGTCTTCCTCATGCCCTCTGGCTATCAGCCCGAGCATGCACTGTGCCCTGTGAGCTTCAGGTCAACTCCAGACCAGCGGGGCCTGCTATTCCTATGGCTTCTGCATGTTCAGGTGCAGTTACAACTGAGGACACATCAAGAAATGAAGGCACACAGATGGCACCCATCTTAACACCTGTCGGGGAAGACTTGGGGGAGTGGCTTGGGTGTGTGAAGGGTGCAGGAGGAGAGGAAGAAGGGCAGCAGCAGATGTGACTGGGAACAGAAAGGCTGGTGGGGGGTCCATGGGGTCCACTGCTAGAAGCTGGAGGTGCGCGTCCCCTCATGGGGACCAGAGTTTCAGAGTGACTGCCATTACTTGCTAGACAGGTGAACAGTGGCACAGGTTT